TAACGTGTCAAATTCCCGTGTTATCGTGAATTTCGAAACTCATCTTTCCTGTAAGCATCCCAACCCAAACCACAGTCCTCCTCTCACGCAACTTGCAGTTAAAATGAGTAGAATAATACTTTCCGACTCTGAATCGGAGTCAAATGTGATTATAGCTGCGCCAACGTGAGTAATCATGCTGCGCCACGAGTATTCTCTAACAGCGGGTGATGCAGTCGTCCTAGGCAGCGTATCATTGAAACTATAATTGACTCTGACTCGGAGGAGGAGAAATGTGCTCGGTGAGTGCAATTAAGCTGCCCATAGCATTGTCTTACCTTTTCCAGCACACCACTCAGCCCCTCCAAAAGGGTGAACATCACTCCCAGGAAGAAAGATTTGACGAAAATATCGTGAGCACAATTGTCTCATTCATTACCATCTCCTAATCATTTTAACCCCTCCCTGTCTACCAAAAGTCCCGAGAAAAGGAAGAGAGAGGATGATGAAGAATCTGCCTTCCTATTCAAGGCTCCACGAGGAATTGCAATCACCCACCCGAGAGAGGTTGAATACCTCATCAATACCACGTTCTCACTGCACAAGCAGCGCTATGATATGCACCGAGACATCCTCCGCAAAGCGAGTGGGAAGAGTGCGGTAGCGGTTGTCCAAGAATTATCGCATTATCAGCGATTCTTCGACGGGATAGAGCCCATACCCATAGATTCTCCGGTGTGGGGGCATGTTTCCAAGTGCGCGGAGGCAATGTTGGAATTGGCCCAATCTCCTGGCCGGTTTCGAGCTGCTCACTGGATCAACCAGGGCGTCTTAAAAAAGCGTACACGAAAAGCGCCCAAAGATCGAAATACATACCAAGAGTTGTACACTCGAATCTACAAACCTGGACGTCACCGGTATCGACAACTCCTTCAGGAGTATGTCTCACAATTCCCTTCGGATTTATCCTGGGCGTTATTCCATGGCGGTATTTACGGCATCGGAGATATCGTACTCGAAAAAGTAAAGGACATATTGGACAAAGCAGGATATTCGAACATTCATATCCCTTCCCTTCTCCAAGAGACAGAGGAGGAGCCAGTGTTTGTGTATAGTGGAACGACCGCATACGACAACTATTCGCGGTTTCTAGAGCAATTCGATTCTGAGGAATCTTCTCGTCAAATCAACTTCACCTCATTAACGGAGGAAGACGATTGGGACCATTATGAATGGATTCCCTTGCAGGACTCCATCACGTCCACCTTAAATTTCAGGACGGATCCCATCCTTGGGTTCAAAGAATCGACCCTTATCGATATGTGTCCCCAGTCCACCAACAGTGGACCAGGGGGGTTCGTCTCCAAGGTAGCAGTGGAGAGCCGCTACCACAAGGCGATCAAGCTAGCGATGGATATGGCACCTCGTTCGTTGACACACCAGCCAGCCTCAACGGGATTGAAGGATGACCTCAGGTTGATGTTACGGGGAGAAATTGAACTCTTGGCCAAACTCCGACAGAGGATCGATGTCGGCCGCCCAGCTTCTGAGCGGTCGATCAATGGAACGT